ATTATTAAATATGCACCAAAAATACATTTTAAAGTTTCAAACTAGATAAAATGACTTCATCCTGTACCTTGCACAAGTTATTCTCTGCTTTCCAGAGGTGAAAATAGCCATCCAAGGACACAGCACCCAGTTCCTGAAAAGAAATAAACAACAACAACAACAACACAGGAAGTCAAGACTGAAATCAAGGGAACAGAGAAAGACAAATCCAAAAATGACAGGACAACTCTCTGCTTTAGTTTCTGCTGTTCCTGTAAACATCCACTAAATTCAGATCGATTATAAAACTCAGTTAATTAAACTGCTGAGTTTATTCACAAAAACAAAAAGTTCCGATTTTAGTTCAAGGTTAAAWCTTAAACTGTTAATTTTAACTGCACAAACTCAGTCATGAAAGGAGGAATTGAAACTAAATAGTTTCTTCAAAAAAACAATGGTAATTTTGTGTGATGTTAACGTAAAAACTGACACTGAACAATTTAAACTCTTACTTTATGGCTGTTATTGAAGGCCAGAGCTCGGACTTTACAGTTGTAGGGGTTGGTGTACTCCTTAGGGATGTCCTTGAGGGTTCGGTGGGAGATGTGAGCGTAGGAAGGGACCGGCTCTTCATTCTGACTCCTCTCAGCCTGACTCAACACTTCCTCTGTAATCTCCCACAGACCCATGGAGCCATCTCTGGACCCTGAAATGTAAATGCACATCCGAATAGACTATTAATGATCCTGTGTATATGATAGTATTAAATATTAATCAGGCTCTGTAGAACAATGTGTGCTCTCACGTGTTCACACAGCTAATAGAAACTTACCGGAAACAGCCATATTGTCACTGATCCATGCGATGGAGAAAATCCAGTCATTGTGACCATCCTGAGGAAAAAAAAAAAGAAAGAAATCATGCAGCCTTGTGTGCAGCAGGTAGAAATGCTGAATGGCTAACACCAAGCAGTGTTTGAGCTGTGTCAGCAAAAATAAAAAGCACTCGTTTCTGACTCAAAATCCCAAGAACTTCAACCTGAGCCTAGTAATCTGTTAAAGTACACATTAGAATATTTAAACCCACAATAAAAGCATTCATATATTTATACACAAGATTATTTTGCAATCAATCTTTAGGACCAAAAGAAGCTGAGGCTTTTCTCAAATTTTGATTTGATTCTGACTCACTTAAGTTTTTTTTATTAACCAATAGCAATATCAGACGTTTATGAAACGAGCCAATTTATGATCAAAATAAAACACTGACAGTTAAATCAGCTTTAGTTTCTACAAAACTGATCCACATCGCAGGTCTTTCATTGTAGGAGGCAAATCAAATCAATGTGTTGTAGGGACTAAACCATAAATCGTATTAAATGGACGCATGTTATAGCTTTTACTTTGACAGGTCGACTCCACTTAAAAACAGAAAACTGGTAGAAAAATCTGGACGCAGCAAACAGACTTTGGTCAAACAGTACCAACACACACACACACTTGTACCTGACCTGCAGTCACAACAAAGAGAACAGCAACCTGGATTACAGCGCACAGAGCGAGAAACAAAGCTTTGTTCGTGTTACAAAACTCGTCACAAAGCGGTGTACGTACAGACGCTAACTACTGTTTCTGCTGTATTACAGTTAAACACATTTATTTATCCTTTGAGCAAGTTGTTACATCATTTTGTGGGGATGAGGAGAAAATTTAGGCGATTTGATATTTCTTCTACATGCTGGTTAATTTTTGGTCAAGTGTTACTAGAAAGCTACATAAAATTTGTCCATTGATAATGTAATTTATCCCATGGGCCTTGTTCACTCTGACAAAATCAATATGTCTGCAAAGTCTAAAGGGTTTTTTGAGTTTAAAAGAATAAAAACAGAATGATTATTATTCAAAAGAAACATACATCTCCAACACAAACGGGGTCCAGTGTAGGCAGTTGGTAGATGGCCAAGCTATTGGGGTTATCTCCTCCGGTGGCGAGCAGCGTCTTAGAGGGATTGAGTTCGATAGCGTGGATGCCACAGCCCTGTTGGTCCAGCCGGGCTTGAGAGCTTCCTGTTGGGTGGTAATGTCGTCCCGCCACCACTGCGGAGCCCCCGTCACTACACTCCCTGTCCTTTAACATTGGAATGCGTGTTATGTGTCCTGTTAGGACATCAACGACAAAAAGCTGCAAGTAACAGGAGAAGACGGAGCGGATTAGAGACAAAAAAAATGGGTCAAAGGAACATCAGAAGCAATAAAGTATAAACAGAAGAAAATAAAAGAATTGACAGGTGAGGCTATTGAGCTGACAAAATGCAAAAAGAGGACTATATTCTGCAGAATAAAACAATGTCTGCATGTGTGAACTTATCTTTACACGAGACCTTCAGAGAACTGATGTGCACTCATTTAGCCTCAGATTTAGCAATGTGACATACTGGACTGTTTCCTGCTTAATGTCAAGTCCCCCAGGACACACAGCCACAGTCTTATGAGAACTGCAGGCCTTCTTTTATCAGCAGTGATGACAAAATATCTTCTCGTAATGATTTAAAAAAAACATAAATTCAAGACTTTTTTGGTGTGTAAGAAAAACAACCTGTCTAAAAAATCTTCAGAGACATAAATTTAGTTGGGCCAAGTTCACACTGCAGGTAAAAGTGGCAGTGTGACACATTGAATTTTTTTTTAAGTCTTAACGTGATAAAAATCAGATTTTTTTTAACCCAACCCAGGTGTTTTTTCATATGTGGTACATAATGGGGGTGGCTCAGAGGTTAGAGAAGGTGAGCCTGTGGTCAGGAGGTCCAGTTAAAATCCCCAGACCGGCACTGCGGGGCAAATATAACACAAAAAAATCAGATCTGGAAAAAAATAATAATAAATTAGAACTGAGCATTGGTCTAATTTCGTTATTGTCCTCTGAATTACACCAGAAGCCAGAAGTAAATGGTAAATTGATTGTATTTATATAGTGCCTTTCTATCCAACCAGGATACTCAAAGCACTTTACACTGCAATATGTCATCTGACCATATCATTTACCCATAGGGCTGGACGATATGGCTAAAATTTATATAATGATATATAACTCCTAATTTTGGTTGATACGATACAATTTGGACATCGATATGAATAAAATGTAAGTAAAACTACCAAGAACACCATTATTTACTGTACCTACAAACCTCGTGTTATTTAAGATATCTTTAATTAAAATGATAACTAGTCAGAACAAAAACCAATATATCTCAAAGTTACTTTATAGCTAGTCATAATTTAATTGTTGATATCTGAAATATGTGTTTCAGATTCTCAGTAACTGATTATTTTTAAATGGAGCTTCCACACAACTTGATGGTAAATCTGGCATCATTTATCCAAGTCAGAATGTAAATCAGAGATATTTCTTCAATCTAAACTATTTCTTCTACTGCTTTTTCCAACGTGAACACTTGTTCATCCAAAGCKGTTGAGCTCATTTTGGCTCAGCTATCCACTGTGTGTAGGTAGCTTGTTGTTAGCATAACGTAAATAGAGTAGTAGCGCTAAGCACTGATTGAATTTTTTTAAAGTCCTATCACTGGTATTGACACGCTTTCAATCGTGATATATATTCATATTGAATAATTGTCCAGTAATATTTACCCATTCACACAGCACAACACTATGTCCCTATAGAAAGCTTATCTAGATAAATCATTCTATGGAGACTAATCAGTGCTTAAACCACACCCACACACTGACAGGACACATCAGAGACAGTGGGAGTTCAGTGTCTTGCCCAGGGACACTTGGACGTGAATAAATAGCAGCGAAATCGAACCCCCAACTATCTCATTGGAGGACGACTCCTCTAAGCACTCATCCACAACCGCCCAAAATGTATGCAAGGGTCTGACAGTGAGTGACAGGGCATCTCACCGTGTTGCACTTCGTCCCACACACCACCTGCCGGTGGTTGAGCCACTGCGACGCGAACACCTTGTTGAGTCGTCCCAGAGAAAACTCCCTCTCCTTGAGGATCCCGGGGAGCCTGCCCGCTGCGAAGCCACGCAGGCTCCGCTGGAGCCGCAACTCGTGCTGCTGCTGAGGTCTGAACTCCCGGCCCCGGAGCGCACAAACAACGGAGCGCCGATCGCACCACCACTGCTGGGCATGTCGCGATGAACAGGAAACACGGTTCCGCTTGTGTGGCGCCTGACACCAGCCCGGCTGTGCAGGGAGAGGAGAAGAAGTTCAAACATTTGAAGAGTATTTATGGGAAAACAAATGGTTTTTGTAAAATCCAAAATAACTTATCAGTATTTTATCATTTCAACTTATCTGTGATATTGCACATTTATGCCTCAGAGATGCACAAATACGTTTTTCAATGACACMGATTAAAAAGCCTTCGCAGAGAACAAGGAGAGAACAACTGAAGCTCACACGTCACTGACTTGGTCTGTAAAAGACTAGTTCAAGTTAACTAAACTGAACCATTTCTGAATAAACAACAAAACTTTTAAAACCTACAGGAGCACAAATACCTCACTCACACACAACTGGTTCTTCTTTCTTAGGAAAACAAACCTGAAATCTATTTACAAACCACATCCACAAAATAATTTTTAAGTAATAGCCCATATATTTCAGTTGTCTTTATTTGCTTAGGATTATTACATACATTTATTTTGACCTTATCTTAATACATATTTTTGCAATAGTTGCAACCTGTATGGAGAACATTTAACTTGCAACTACACACAGTGTAATAGTAAATAGATTGGTAAAACAGCTATCTTAACATAAATAAATCTCAGCTGATTGAATTATTGTTCATTTTGATTAGATTAAATTTTAAAAGTGTAACCATTCACTACTGAAGCTTTAACAATAGTCATGTGAAGGACCATACATCTCCACTATGGCTGTTGATTTGGACAATTTTGCATACAAACACTGTAATTTGTATTAAAATAGCATCCAAATGTTATTATTTTTGTTTTACTCTTCTCTCACTTCAGTTTGTGCTGATATCTTCAGGTTCTCTTTGTTGTTGTCTCCTGAAAGCAACTATTGTGTTACGTGCAGATGTGACTCACATCAACAGAAAGCAATTTAGTAAAAGTAGGTCAACTATCACTAATATAATGGTACACCCATCCAATTACTGTCAGACCCCCCCCCCCCCCCCCCCCCCATCCTGATCCTCTGCATGTTTTAAACATGACACACTTGGTATTAACGCAGCTGTTGATTGAGGTCATTTGTTCATTCAAAATCAGGTATGTTGGAGACATGTAAGCGTTGCAGGAGAGTACTTGGAGGAAGAGAAACTGTTCTAGTTTGTCTTAAACTAGCCAAATCTTTTAAAAATAAAGAATACTGCATTGTAAAATGTCTAATTCGTCACTCAGAACAGGTGGTCCTCTGTTAAATCTGATCCCTGGCCATTCAGCTAGCTGTTTGAGCTAATGCTGTCAGACATTTATTTGAAAGAAAAACTCAGTTTAAATGGAGATTAGTGCGGTTCTGACAAGTAATCATCAAATGATAATGTTGCTCCCAGCCGAGTTAAAGACTGATCGCCTTGTTGGGCTGATTAATTTTACGGCGGAGTGGCTTTTCTTTAGCAGATGTTAGCTGCCGCTGGCTAACGTCAGGCTAGTACAAGCAGGTGATGATATTCAACTATAAACATTATGTGTCATTATTTAAGAAAGCCCCAAATGCGTTTTGGTCCACGTTGATCCCATTTAAGGCATCATTTAATCAGTAAAAAGAAAAACCGATCTTATCGCTGCTTATCAGCTAATTCTGGCTAGCACAGTAGTTAGCATGCTAACCGGTTTCCGCCTACCTGTTGTTGGTCCTTCGGCTCTCCTGCTGCCTTCCTTTTCCTGCTAACTGTTTTTCTCGCCATAATCTGACACACACAGCTCCCTCACCCACATGGAGGGTAAAGCTAACGCTGAACACTGGATCATATAATGGAGATGTGCTGTTTCGGTTCCTTGGCCCTCGCTCGCTGGCAGTGTCCGAMAGAGCAAGGGCGATCACATTCGGCTGAGGTTGGTCAGTTGTAGGTTAAGATTAAATTAGCTTGCCAGCTAAATACTACGTAGGTTAGGCCGAAAAAAAGGGGAAAAATCGATTCAGTTTCAACACACTAACTGAGCGAGGTTCACGCTAGTTTTTTTCCCCCTTGCTAGATCGCGGTAACGGCCAAAAGTGCTCAGCAGTGCGCAGTCGCACGCAAATTAAACATCAACAAAAACAAGAAGGTCGAATGGGAACGAGTACGTCCTGCGTGCTCGTTCACGCCCCCAGCTTGGGCCTMGAATGAGCCAGACTAGCTGAGTGAAGCTGACAGCCCATCCAGCTGCCTAATCTTTGCTTGATATGTGACATAATTAATTATATTCATTTTGATGGGTGTATGTTTACAATATGTGTTTTTATAATGTGACGTATTAAGCTTAATAGTGTATTTAGGATCATTGCAACTCCTATAATTAAACATTGGCAAACATAGCTTTAATAACAGTTTTGCGGGTGGATCATTTAATGGTGCTTTTATAAAAGATTCATAATTACATAAATTTTGACCAAAAAAATAAATCAATCAATCACAGTAGAGCCTTCCCTGTTATGTACGTATATCCTCACCCTTCTTTATCTCCTAGTCAATGCGGCTTCACGTGTACCCCTGCTCTTGCATATTGTTTTTATTTTCCCACTGACTCAGCTTCACAGCTGGATGTTTCCAGATGTCAAGGAAAATACCTGGATGGACACTCATTTGTATTGTTCCAGTCTTAACTGATCCAAGACGAATCATACATCTGCATTAGAAATATAAGGTTATGTACTTGCCAGCTTTATGCAGCACGTTTAATTTTATAACACTTTTTGAGCTTTTAATTGGTAGGGGGGACAGTATTGTAACCACTGAAAAGATGAGAATGTTTTAATATGTAATGATTGTAAAAACTGTAAAAAATATAGGGTTATGTATGGAGACAATAATAACACTTGTGTGTTTTGTGACATTGGTATACCCTTTTGATTTTAATCACAGTAAATAGAAAGGCAAATAAAATAAAATCACTTTTCAATCACGTCATACCTAAAGTGCTGGTTGAAGAAACTTTACCAACTTTCCGTATTGATTCGTGTTTAATCACCCGCACCAGGAAGGAACATTTTACAGGAAATTTTAAGTTGAACAGATTCAGGAAATGTTGCACGGTGTGTGTGTGTGTGTGTGTGTGTGGTCTGGGAAGATAATTTACCACAAGCAGGTCTCATTTTTGTAGCTTCAGTGAAAATTCATGGTGTCAAAAACACTTGATTATTTTTTACATTTCACAATTAAGAGTTTCACTGGTCGGATCTCAAACAGGTTGTAGTTTGGATAAAGTTCTTATGTGTGATTGGTTTACAAAGTACTGGTCCAGTCTTAGGCTAAGTAGCATTTTAAGAGTCACATTTTTGCTAAATTTGAGCCCTTAAGCTGTTAGAATGCCCCTCACAAGCGATGTCAAAAATCACAAAGCTCAAATAATTAGAGATTTCAGTCATTCCTGCTTTTAGTACAACTGAGAAGACATGTTTTCAACAGCCTGAACTCAGAAGACCCAATATCAGATAATTTATTTWAAAAAATTACTTCTGTTGACACAACTGTATCCAATTAAAATCTAGGGAAAATGTCACTTTCTTGTTTGAAATATTTCCATTTAGAAAAGAGGGATGCCCATCAAAAAGTAAAATCAAAACACAAAAGTAAGTTAATTATCTGGGTTTGATTAGATTTTGTATGAACTTCAGTAACAATGAAAGATTAAAAAAAACAATCACCAAAATAAAAACGTTTCTGTCAATCCCAACAAAGCTTAAAGACAATTCTGTTTCTTCCAATACTTTTTTGAGGCTCAAAGTGCCGGTCAACAGTCATACCTCATGAAATGTTTCTATTGCACTGTGATGTGGCTGCGCAAACAACCCTAACTTTATTTCCTTCTTCTGTGTTTTAACCTCCCACTCTTCTCCAGTCTGAAATCTAACTTGCACAACTTATAGCATCACATTTTGTAAGTTAACAAATCTTACATCATCGTGTCAAACTCTTAAATCAAAGTGTCAGTGAACTATGTTAAATAAAATGAGAATCACGAAACGTGTGGTACATCGGTGACCGTGTGAGATTTTTTTTTTAAATCTCCACAGAGGAACACCCTCCTTCCCCACGCCCATCTCTGCCGACTGTAGCTGGCTGTTCCAGTGCACGTCCAAGAGAACTCCTCTKCTTTGAGTTATCATGACTAATAATGATCAATTATGCAATTCCTAAAACAGAAAGCAAAGAAATAGAACCTTTAAACAGAAACAAAAAGTGTCCMAAAAAACAAAAGGTGAACAGAAAAATAAGACAAATGTAAGTAGAACAGAAATAGGTCCTGGGCACAACAGCTCAGAGGGCACTTCTTGAKAGTCAGCACTCTGCGGCAACTGTGCCTTTTATTTTCGCTTTTACTACAAATTGGTTCAGTTTGAAAGAGAGCCTCCACTCGGCTCCCCCTACGCCCACGCCATTTACTAGGTCTGCAGTCAGAAACTGAAGATGGCAGCTTTGTGGTTTGGGAGTCTTCGMAGTTCATACCAGCCAACCACCACTTCCTCTCTGTTCAATTCTGCAGTTTCCCTCATGAAGAAGCAGCAATAGAGTGGCACAAATTAAAAAAAAAATAGCCACATCTTCCAGTCTCTCCTACTTTGTGCTGTTCAGTGACCTAAACCCAAAACCACATTTTTTTGTACATATGGTTACAAATACCTCAGTCCAATCTAGGCACATAAACTTTCAAAAGTGCTGAAACATTTTAGCACAGAAAGAAAGGTCTCCCAGCTGTCCTGTCCACAGCCGAGGCAGAGGGCAGGGCATTGTGAGATGAGGTGGGCAGAGGGAAAGGGGCTGGAGTAGGATGGTAGCAGGAAGCATGCCCTGGGAGGAGCTCGCTTAGCCGACCGGCTTGGCTCAGCTAGCAGCAGCGCGGGCCATCAGGTCCTCCAGAGCCTTGTCCTGGTCATTGTTGTGCACTAGCAGCACCTCTTTGATGGCGTCTCGCTCGAATCCCATTTCACCAAATCGCGACATGAGCTCCAGATACTGCAAGGCCTGGAAAAACAAGATAAAAAAAACACAGGCGTTACAAAAATTGGTGAACACACTGCGTAATCTTTTCGGTTCGTCAGCAAACTATATAAAATGCATTGAGACGACATGGACCGACTTTTGATGAGTAGATCATGTACAAACCTTTTCTTCTGAGCACTGGTACATGTCTAAACATTCTTCCACTGCACTGGCATCAAAGCCTCGCTCACACAGACGACCATGGACAAACAGATAGTCCAGCACCTTGGACAAACAACAAGGACATTTTAACAATTTTTCCAAGAATTAACTTTGATTATTTTTAACATGCAGTGTTCATAGGCTCTCCTAAAGGTGCAATRTGCAGGAATTGGAATTACGTCGTCTTATTGCTCTGTAAAGTTGCTGTGTCGGCATATCTCAGTTTTTCACTGTTTACAGTGATAAGTTGTCTGCAGATATGAAAGCTGGGTTACGGTTGAACCCGGAGCTAATCAACCTAACCAAACCCCCATATGGCTGTGACTCAGCAGTTTTTAAGATACTGAGCTAARGTTTGGTGTGGTAGTAGCTGAGTCATCTCCATCACGAGTGCTAACAGATCAAGCAATATCTATGAAATTTTGGCATGCACGGGGAAGTAAATGTTTATCCATCAAAGAACTTTCATTTATAAAGTAGTTTGTCAAAAATAAACTGGGTTTATACAGTTTGTCCCAACCAAATTAATATTTAGTTTACCATAACAAACCCACACCYAGACAGGACACTTGTTTTTAGGCGTTTTATATTTTTTGCACAGAACCTGATTTATCTTACAACTGCTGAGACAAAAGAGAGAGAAAAMGCTTTATTTTATTGAGTGCTAAATTTACAAATATGATGTAAATATGCTAGTCATGCAGATTGTTGTGCTTTGGTGTGATCGGGACCCCAACCTGCTCCACATTCTGTCCTTGTCTTTGCATGGCCCGTAGGACTTCTTCGTACGAGTAGCCCATGCCCACAAGCGTTTCCACACACTGACGTTCGCTGGGTGTCATGCTCAGAAGAGCTCCGCCACACGGCAGACCAGAGGATCCTGACCCAGGGTTGGCCTGGTGGAAATATTTAAGTAAATAAATACTCACAAGGTGGTAAGGATTTTATTTTTATTCACAGACGTTTTTGCTGTGTAGTGTTTTCTCTAACACTCACCGGCTTGGAAGTGGCACTCTTGCTGTTGCTGGCAGGCTCAGGAGCAACAATAACTTGTGTTTTTGGTAGAGTCGGCGAGCTCCCATTGGGTAGAATCTGTCGAGATGCTGGAGCGGACGTGGGGAGAGGGCTGTATCTTAATGGCTCTGGGTCAGCAGAATCAGACAGCTTGGGAAAAGTCAGAGAGCGGATGTTGCAGGGTCGRTCGTCTGTGTCGAACCCTACTCTTCCAGGATGTCCAACTTTGTCCATGTCCAGCAAGGCTACCAGGCCGTTCGGTTTGTGGCCAAAGCCTGGTTTGGCRGACACATTTGTGTTGGTGCTGGTTGGAGATGGGCTGTTTCCACGAGATGCGGACCCCTGCTGAGACACCTCTGGTGGGGATACAGACGGAGGCRGCTGAGGCTGGCTCTGTAGGATGTTTCTAAGCTCTTCCTTATCGTCCAAAGTTTTAAGTTCCAGCTTGTCAAAGGGGTCTTCTTCCCGCTCAAAGTCAGCTAGATTGAGGTTGTGTGACTGTGGACTGCTGGGCTGGGCTTTTCTAGGGCCAAGGCTAGGAGCAGGCAGTGGAGTGAGAATGGCATTGTGGCTCAGCCCCGCCAGAACAGGGTTCATTGCTGGTGGGGGCAGGTCCTGGTCCTCTGCAGCAGACCGAGAGCTTAACCCACCACTACAACTGCCACCATCGATGTCCTGAGAATCCCTGCTCTCTTCTTCCTGCTTGGCTGCTGCCTCCTTTGCTCTGGCGGCTGCTGCTTGGGCCTCAGCAAGTTCTATACCCCAGCGTACATGCCGCCTCTCCAATGAAAAGTCATACTGTTCAAAACAATGTGGGAGGAAGAGTGAGAAGGATGGACGAAAGAACAGAAAACTCTTCTCTTACTACTGGTAAAAATCACATGATGTTAAAACTACAGATCAAAACAGTTAAAACAAAAACAAACAAAAAAACAACAACAATCAATTAATTAATTAATATAGCTTGAGGTTGCCGATGCTATTTCAATATTAGTCCCTCAAGGATTTTGCAGGATTTTGATTGCTGTGGCCTAACATGTCTGATTTTTCAGCAGTTTTTTAAAATAGTCGCAGTCAAAGATGTGGTGTTTTACAGATTTTTGTCTTTAACATTCCAAGACAAAATTATTTTACAGAATTCATCATGTGTCTAATATAAACATAGCAAAGCTGYTGGGATGCCAAGATCCAAATGCAATGAATAAAGGATGAATAAAGTGAATATGCTGAAGATSACAAAGCTCTGCAGGTGACTTTTGGTGGGTTTTTTTTAAAATCTGTTACATATTCATGTTAATGACATAATACACTTAGCTCGCTCTGACAGGTTGTTTTGGATTTAAAGTAGGGGTGCACGATACTTATCGGCCCAATATCAGGGAATTATGATGTCATATTTATGGGTCCAACATCATAACAAACAGAACTGATAATACATGTTGATGTTTGCCAGCGCGGCGATGAGAATGCGTGTTTATTTTTATCTTTTTGGTCAAGCCGCTTCCCGTCCAGCATGACCCCAGCAACGTTCAAGTTGTGTCGGAAAAAACAACTTTCTCACTAGAAAAATAATTAGGGTCCTCCGTGCTGAAAAACCAGTCGTTTTAATAATTTTTAATATTATTTCACCAATTAACCCTGTATGTTAAACACAAACTTTATAATGATAAACATAAAAAAGTCGGAACAACTACTCTCAATTTGAGAACATGTAATGTCCGTTACCTCCTGAACGCAACACAGAGTCCGTTCTGCTAAAATGCTAACAACAAGCTAGTGTTCAAGAACTGAGACTTAAATCATTGCTGAGGCTTTTGACAAATCCAAAGAAATAGCCAGAGAGGACGCAGATCTCAAGCACTTCAACAATGGAAACGATGGAGCTTGACAAGCAGCCATTCCTCCTCACTAAAGACTGAGGATTTTATCTCCTTGTTAGCCATGGTTTACCATGCTGAATAGCTGCTGCCTCTGTGTGTGTCTTCCTGTATGTTTGATGTGGTCGTAATACTTTCACACTCTCAGACGCACTGTTTCAGGTAGAAAAATGTTTTAAATCATATATTAAAAAACAAATGTACTTTGAATCTAACTTGCATTATTGTGCATCCCTAATTTAAAGAGTTACTTTTTCCTGCCGGCAGCCCCCTTCTTCCCTCCACATGCATTTTATGCAAATGTTAAATGTAATATCCGATGGCAAATTTAGTAGTTCAGGTTTAGGACATGTTTTCATTCAGCAGGCTTGGATTCAAGAAAGTAAAAAAAGGGCAGGGGGTAAAGGTGATTTGTCGAGTTTATGGACAAGTTGCAATGATTGGTTAGTATTGTAAGACTGAGAAAAATTTCTTTTGAATTTGTGTCAATATTACAACTTCCTGGACACGCTATTAAAAAGGAATATGGTAAGAAGGTATACTCCATTCGTATTAATGACTAACAAAAATATGTCCTGATTGTTAGCTTTTTTGAATGTACTATTTAAAAAATATATCATTTTAAAAACTAACAACATCAAATGAGCAAAAGCTAATTTCAGTGGAAAATAATTAGCCCAATCCACTTATCAACTTCTGAGATAAAGATGCCACAACCTTGTGGGGCGTGAGTTTGGGATTTTAAAGGAGAACAATAAAAACTGCTTTTCAAACTGAATTTGTAATGAATGGCAACACAACAGCATCGATGCTCAACATTGCTGCTTTAGCCATTATTTTTGCTTTCTCAATAGTTTGAGGCTAAACGTGTGACAAGGGATGACATTTGAATAACTGCACAACAAAACACCTGTACAAATTTGCATATTGTCTGTTCCTGACTAACCTGTGTGTCTGCAAGCAGGCTACAATCGGGCATACAGAAACCAACAGGTAACCCCACTTTGGCTGGACAGCGAAATTTATCATTTATCTTGAAGGGAACATCATCAAGGTAGCTGATGGGTCCTGTAAATGAAAAAAAAATGAACAAATAAAATGAAAGAACAGACAATAGATCAAACTTTATTTTCTATATTAAACTCAAAGCATCWGTGTTGTTTAACAGTCAACCAACAAAGTATTAAAAGTAAACTCTTGCCATTGTTGTACACATCTGTGCCAGACTTCCTCGCAGCCATTTATCCTCTGTAAAAAAATAAATAAAAAACAAGAAGTATACATCCCATTAAGTATAAGCAAGAAAACAGACCAAATTTGCCACAGTTCTAAGTCATTTTCTTTGTTTCCTTGTTCGTCACAGTAGCTACATAATTATGGTAGTGTGTCTGACATTTAAACCTTGTGCAATGGCTTTAATAGAAATGATTGTGAGAAAGAATAATCAAATCAAAACGTGCAACTAGTGAATGAATATCTAAACAAAGCTGTTCAGATATCAGTAGAGAAAATTTCAGGATTACAAACAAAAGAGTCATTTTGCTTTTCTCTTGGCATTTTTCTGTCGTTTTGCTTTTGTTTTGCCCCTTAGATTAAATGTCATCCATTGGACATGGACCACACATGATCAGCACAGGAGGCATCTTGTGATCTGATGGGATCTCTATCTGGGTGTCAGATTTCTTAGGAGTGAAGACTTTAAAGTTAGGAATATTTCTTAGATAATAGCTGTTGGGAGATTAAGTTATAAATCTTGTTATTTTAACCGAGTGTTATCATGCTGACACATTAAGTGATAAGAATAACATAAGAAAACAAGGGTTAAGAAAGTTAAAATTTGTCTAAAGCACACTGTCATGACAGTAGTCAGTGCTTTTCGTTTACATAGGAGTTTCACAAGTTGCTCGTAAATTACTGTAAAGTTCCACAAATGCGGCTAAATGATTATTAGCATTAGCTAAATGCTGCTCGCGTGACGTGCTGACAGCTAGCAAACGTTTTGAGAATAAAAACCTCGCTTACTTTAGCTTAGCTGGCGTTTAGAAGAGATACAAGCAGACTGAAATAATCCACTGAATGTCATATTTAAAGTGAATAATAGTCTTGAGGAAATGCTACACAGGCAATGCTAATACTATTAGCTTCACCTGTTTGGCCTGGCTGTAAACGTATCRTTCTCTCTGCTGCCACCGCCCCTCACTAAAAAAAAAAAAATACTGGTCAAACACAAAGCCACCCTCACCGGTATCTGCTCCGTCCCGTCTTTACGAAATCCAAAATGACACCTGACCGAGCTGACACTCCGACCAAAAAAGCTACACTCAGGATCAATTTTATTTGAAGTGAAACCTCTTTCCTGTTTCGGCGTACGTCGCCATCTTGGCTTGTGTTCCTGCGTGACGTCACTTACTACACGACGTAGGATCACGTAATAAAATAATTTGAGTGGTGCAGTCTGCCAGATCACCACCAAAATTTAATMATTTGTTCTTTCATGAAAATCCATTCTCAACGTTTTGAGCAATTTTGTCAGACATATTCTGACAGATAAACAAATCAAAAACATAACCTACTTGGGGGAGTAAAAAGTCAGTTACTTTTTAGTTTTGTTTTGTTTCGTTACCTCACATTAAACAGAGTATGAATGCTTAATTATTCATTAATTAGCCCTCCTGTTGTCCTCATTTTCTGTATACACCCTGTGTCCTCTGGGTCAAAATGACTTGTCTTCACTAAACCCCCGATATAAGCAGCTTAATTGAATTTTAAACACCAAATTTCATCTTGCATATTGTCATTCACCACAAAGTGTGTGAAT